ACAGGAAAAAGAGAGAGAGAGAGAGAGAGAGAGAGAGAGAGAGAGGGAGGGAGGGAGGGAGGGAGGAAGAACCTAAAATGTAACTCTGCACATGAAAAAAATCCGCTAAATGCATCCACAGCAGGTCAATGAGTGGAATTTATATACAGTTATGTGCCAAGCCCTTCTTAGTATTTCTGAAAAGCTTGATGATGGAATGAATGAACATTTCAGGCTAACAACATTACTTTAACAATAATTGAGCTGAGGTCATGCCTTTTCTTAATGGTGTAGAGTGTATACTTACCTTATGGTTAAAATATTTTTCAAATTTTAATCTTGCTAGTTCTACACATTGAGGCCAATTTTTGGGTCTTCTGCTAAGTAACTTAATAACCTGAAAACAGCCTTCTAGACTCTGTCCACTTTGTAACTTCTGGAATGTGAGGGGAAAAAACAAAGAAAAATAAAAACAAATACACTTTCAGTTAAAGAAACAAAAACACATATTCCAAAAGTATCAGAGCATGAAGTGTCAGCTCATATGTTTAATATTTTTATTGCTTTAAAAAAAAAATTTCAAGTTCCTTGCCTCTCTGCCTTTCTCTTCATTTTTCTTTTAAAGGGAGAGGGAATAGCATATAATATTTTAATTCTGAACTGTAATTCAGAAGATATTTGCATATATTCCTAACTGTAAGTTACTAACACTATATATGTATTTACATATATACACACTTAGTATATGGAGCCTAATAAATAATATTTAATAATAAAATATTGGCCTTTACATTAGTGCAGGATTAAGGCTTAAGGAAATACCGTAGGTCATCCTTATTATGAAGTAAAGAGTGAGATTACTGTCCTTCCATGGCATTTTCACTAAAATTTACCTGTTTTATTTTTTTTCCCCAAAGCGGTTGATCACATGTACTCTTATTATTTTTGCTCTTTCATCATTAATTACCACACATCTTTGTTAGGTCGAATCACATCTTCTGTTAGTCAAACATAGTCAAAGACTGACAATTTCTTATAGTTCAATTGAACTCAAAGAGGCTGCTTGTGATGTAATTTCAAGACTGTTGATATAACATTTCTCTTTGCACTTACAGTGATAATGTTTTAGCTACTCTTTATGGAGGTAAAATAAACCACTTATGGAGGACTTGAAAATTATAATGACACAAAGTGTTAGGTTTGTATTAAAATACATTCATCGTTACCTGTAACACTTCTTCTGCAGATAGGTAAGTTTGCCAAAACTTGTTAAACAAGGAAGGCTTGTGAGAAAAGGAACTTTCAAACTGTAAAAAAGAAAGAAACAAAACATGAAGCAGTTGTCTCCAGACATGTGAACTCTGGTTGAACCTGCGCATGTTCAAAAACCTAGTAAAATGAGGTTAAAAACCTCCCAGATTTGCACATGTGGGTTCCCAGAGGTGTACTGTCCTTGGTAGATGATTTCTTGCTGATCCCATGAGAACTTTTTTAACAGGTTAGAGATGCACTGTTGTGACATGGAGGTGAATGCACATACTCCGTTTCTAATTCTTAAAAGCTGGCCGAGAAAAATAAAGTTTGTCTTAGCTCCTTGAAGCTCAGACCCTGTGCCTTGCTGTTTTGTGTCTTTGTTTTCTAAGTAAGTCTCTCTCCCTTAATGACTTATTAACAAATATCTGCTTAAAAAAAACTTACAGACAACTATCTGTTTAAAAGTTAGAATTATTTTCTTCCCTACTTCAAAGAAAACAAATTCCTTGTTAAGGAACTTTTACCTTGTCTCTTGCCCACTGTATAGTGTGCTCAATAGTGGCTGGAAAAGATTTCAGAGTACAAAATGGTATTTCTTCTTCTGGAGGATCGCGCTGTTACAAGATACGACAATAAATACTTATGAGAGGCAATGACAAATTTTTTTTCCAATGGAATTATAGTTTTCAAAACAATTACAATAAGTAAAATATAAAAATAAAGAAATAAAATCCAACTATACATTTTTATTTCTTCTCTTTTAGGCAGCAAAAGAAAAGGTTACTTCTTTTAACACTTAACCTATTTCTTAACACCAATAAAATCAAAGATATGAATTCTATTTTCATTATCTGTGCACACATTTGGCATACTCATGGCAGATAACCACACATAATTCACTTCTTTTTTCTCAAGAAATCAATGTGGCAAAATTTTATTACATTACTCCCTATTCTGAAAAGTAACTCAAGAATGATCAATATAGTGCTGAGTGTATCATAAGCCTTTCCATGTAGAAAAACATTTTGACCAAAGATGCTTATAGTTTCCTGTATAATTTACAGCTATGTCTGGAGTTGTTTCATGTACTGATGTACCACTGAAGAAGTTCATGATCTACTCAAGATACATTTAGCCTGTGTTTATTGGTTTGTCCAATCTATAAATGACTGACCTTGTCTCTTTTTATTTATTGCTTTATATTTTATTTTTATATTTTAGTCTCTTGATCTATGAAACACCATTAAACATTGTACAAATTAAAGAGGGAAGTCAAATTCTGGGCTTTATGAATGAAGTTTAAAGATGTGATAATAAGAGAATTATGGGGTGGGCTAGGGATTTAGCTCAGTGGTTCTGCCACCTGCCTTGCAAGCACAAGGACCCGAGTTCTATCCCCGGGACCAAGAAAAAAAAAGAGAATTATGGGAAGTTTTAGAATTTTATAACATTTCCCATTCTGAAATTTTTCAAATGATGTTCAGTGTTATCGTGACTTTTTACCATATAATTTCAAATAAAATTTGTCAATTTAGCCTATCATAATTTCATTACTTATATAAACTTGTTTCAGAAGAGAACATGGGAAAACCACAAAGTTTGTAAAAACTTAAAAAAATTCTACTAAATCAAACATGTTCATTAAATCCTTATGCTTGTGTAAACATTATTCAATATTTTATTTGAGATCTTTTAAAAACTGTAAAAAACTACAATTATTTTCTAGACCAGTGGTTTTAACTTTGGCAGTGCTGCTGAAGCATTTATTGGGGGTCACAAAATTACATTTATATCCCTTTTATATCATTCTGTGTAGATGGTTTTGGGTTCCACCTATGTAAAATGTGATTCTGTAGCTAGATTCTGAGTGTCATGAAGATCTGCACACTTATCAGGTTTCACCATAATTTCTGACAAATAGAAATAAACATTAGACTTGAATGCACAATAACTAAACTTGCATTTTTTACACACTGTATCAGCCATGTCTAACCTAATAAATCAAAAGAACAGAAGATAAATATAATTTTACTACTCTGACAGTTCTAATCTCAATCTAAAAGTTTAATTTTTCTTATCAAGCCATTTAAACTTCAAGGCTGCTAGGAAACAAATCAAGAAATAAACAGTAGAAACAACAGTCCAGAAAGGTAAGACATAAAATTCTAATTTTGAAAACTACATTCAATTATATTTTAAAAAATGAACATGTACATATGTACAGACATAATCAACAGAGCAAAAGCCAATTAAGAAAGCTCAACCAAATTTAACTCATGAGAAACACACACACAAAAAGACATTTACTTCAAAATACTGATTCACTTACATGACTATTATAAGATTCAGTTAAGTGAGGTACAATAACTTCAGTGTGCCCCTTAGTGCCCATTGTTCCAGAGTCCAAGAGAGGCCGTAGATTTGCTAAGCAACGGCTGTTTGAAAGCACAGTATGAAAAAACAAAAGTGAGCAACAACAATGTAAGCACAGGATACCCACATAGTGATCTTTTTCTGAATGTAGTATTTCAGGAAACAGATGCACTGCCATACATGTAACTTTGTTTAATCAACCTCATGGTTTTTGTTTTTCCCTCCTACGAATGAAACAAATCTTGGGTTTTGTTAACTTTTACCCCTATCTTTAATTCTTTACCGTTACCCTTTCTTTTCTTGCTTTCCATATTTGCTTTCTTTTTATTTATTTTTTAAAAAAGTTTCAGAACTTTATTTGTGATATACTGTGTTGTAAAAATGGTACTGGAATTGCAATCCAATAAGAGTTAACTTTTTAAATATTAGTTTTATTTGTACTTAAAGTAAACAATATATTGATATTCATCATTGGAAATTTGCACCTTTACATAATCCATCGTGGTTCTTAGTTTTCCTATTCCCCTATTGCCCTACCTTCACACCCCCACTTCTTCCTATCTACAAAGACTTTGTTTCCATTTTTTTCCTCATATTAATACCATTCCCCTTTCTTTTTCACTATCCCTCTCATTTCCCTTCCCCTTTGCACCTTTCTTCCTATTTCACATTATCTAGTATACCTTTTAGTCCTTATTTACACTTTCAGTTTCTCATACTACAGAAACTATTTGGTTATTTACATATATGCATCATATTTATTTCACTTAAGAGTATGGTGTCAATGTGCATCCATTTAGCTACAAATGTCTCTAGTTTTTCATTCTTTATGGCTGAGTAGTACTCCATTTTATTAAAAAACAAACAAAAAACAAACACATTTTCTTTATCTAGTCTCCTGTCCATGGGCAAATGGGCTGCTTCCAAGTTTTAGAGAAGCAAATGAAAACAATACTGAGAGTCCACGTTACCCCAGAAAGAATGGCTGCTATCATGAAATCAACTAATGACAAATGCCAGCGGGACTGTGGGGAAAGAGGAACCCTGCTCCACTACTGATGGGACTGTAGACTGGTACAACCACTGTGGAAATCAATATGGAGATACCTCAAAGAATTAGGGTTGGAGGTCCCACTTGACCCAGCTGTCTTCCTGCTGGGCATTTCCCCAAAAGAATTAAAAGAATTATACCATAGTCATATATGTGCACCCATGTTCATAGCAGCACAATTTGTGGTTGTTTTCTGACCAGAAATTCTACCCTATTGTATCTTTCCAACGTTCTAGACCCTACACAGTATTAGGCTTCTTTTTTCAATACTTAAATTACCTATAATTCAGTACACTTTAGTTTCTTAAAAATTTCTCCTTTTCTCTCACTCAGTACCACTCAGTACAATCTTTTCATTTCTCAACTGGTAGACTACCCTCTGTTAAAGTACAGTGGAACCCTGACTTATGAACTCAATTCATTAGCAAGGGCTGGTTGTACCTCAAGCCGGTCAACTGAAGGCTCAAATTCCTCTATACAGCCTTCAAAGTCTTTTTCCTGCATAATTTTAGGTCACACTTTCTTCCAGGCAGATCTCAGTGTCCTTAGAGACATTGGCCCAGGATTTTTCAGTTAACCCCACACAGGAAAGGATGTTATAATGTTCCTTCCAGAACTCTGTAAGGGTTAGATCTGTATCTGAGACCATCTGGAAGCACAAGTGGCCAGCACTCAGGTCCTAACTCAAGCTTTTCATCAGAAATTAAAACTAAAATTCTGGGTGAAATTCAAGTTGATTTATTTTTTTTCCTCAATGAGTTTATCGGTACATTTTAGGTATACAGTACAGTTACATTCATCATTGGGATCTTGTACCTTTACATGACAGGTCTTGGTTCTCATTTTTCCCCTTACCCCTGCCCTCCCTTCACCCCTCCTCCCCCTTCCCTATTTACAAATACTTTATTTCCATCTTTTTCATTTTTTTTCTTTTCCCTTATTTCCTTTCCCCTACCCTTCCCACTTCCCCTATACCTTTAGCCCTTTTCTTCCTATCCAAGTTGATTTTATGTTAAGCAAGTTGTAACATGAGGGCCCACTGTATCTATTCTAGCATCGTAACGTTAAATAATCTTATAATGAGGTAAGAAAGCCTATGTAAGGGTTATAGTCATTCATTCATCTATTTCTTTTACAAATATTTCCCTAAAAACAAACAAACAAACAAACAAACCCAAATATTTCCTGAACAACTCCATGTGCTGGGAACTAAGAATAAAATGATGGAAAATAAATGGTTTCTGAATAAAAGGTTGTGTGAGGAAACAAACATTAAATAAATATGTTTCTATAAAAGTAAGGATCATGAAGGAAAACAAATAGAAAAAGTATAATTGGGGATTACAGAAAGTAGATTTTAAGACATTTAAAGACATTTGGAAAAGAGGGTGAATTTTATGCTGGATTGGTAGAAACATGGCAGGTATACTGCATGAAGAACACTTAAGCTATCATTCATTTTTAATTCTATTCTAAGTATTAAGGGAAATCATTAAATGTTCTGGGTTTGAGGATAGAAGGAAACTAAAGAATAAAATATTAGGTAACTTTTTGATAAGCAAGTGTGGGAAATAGTAAAAAATAAAAGACACTTCTTTAAAATGTGAATTTAAGGAACATACCTATCAACGTATCTCCTGGCTTCCACATTATCTAACGCTGTAATAATTATGTCTTGCTTAGTGTAAAACTCATCATTGTAAATGCCCTCGGTGGCTGGACATACTTTGTTCAGGTGTGCATCTATCTTTAACTGAGGATTTATTTTCAGAGTTGCAACAGCAGCAGTATAGCTTTTAGGTTTCTAGACAAATAAATACACACAGAAGGAATACATTTTAAACAAAAAAGATAGACTATGATTGAATTTACACATTCTCACCACTCTGGAATATTATATACCAGGTGAGTACAAAGGAATGAGTTTTTCATTTCTTTGTGGAAATTATAGTCATTGTAGTCACATACATTTAATAATGTACTCGGTCCACATGATTATTACTCAAAGTCTAAGCAACCTTTATTTCATAGCTAAGATCTTCAGAGACTTAAGTCCAATTACTGTATTTTTCACCCTAGTTATGTTTGACTTGGTGAGTGTCTAGAAAAGAACAAAGGCACATTTAGGAAAATATTGGAAATCAAGACTCTACAGAAAATAAGCTATTAGATTTAGGGCTACTTTACTCTTCCGAAGTAAAAACACTTTGAATTAGGATTTCTAGAAGGAAAAGTCTTTAGCAATGCTTCCTTATGTTTCAGTTTTATGAAAAAGAGTTCTCTAAATGAATCTACTCTTTTGTCAGCGATTCAGTTGGTGACTAGATGCTTAGGGTCACTCAGGTTTTACCAAATTCATCATGAGTGCTGTCTCTGACCCTAAACTTCCCTGGAACACTCTGCTTGGCATCCTGCACCTGGTTCTACAAGCATCTCTGTGTCACACTGTTGGGCTGACATGTCTCACTCCTCACTGTTCTCAGTGTATGAACAAATCAGAAAACATTGTTGGAACTCAGTAAAACAGCATAGGGTTTTATAGTTCCTCTGTAAGTAAATGTATAAAATGAATAAATTTTGTGAAATTACGAGACCCTACCCTTTTGCCCAGTACATTTGGCTAAGGGAGGCAATTAGGTTAGCTATGTCAACTGCTTTAGTTACCTCCTGTCCATAACACGAGTAAGCTTAACTTACTAGTAAGATGGCAAGTGGGCCAGGGATTTAGCTAAGTGGCACCATGACTGCCTCACATGTGCAAGGTCCTAAGTTCAATCATGGGTACCCCACCCCCCAAAAAAGATTTCAAATGAGTTAAGGGGAAAACAATTTCTAAAGGAAATCTGCTTGACTAAAACTACTTCTATTCCTAACGTAAATACTTTACTATCTATAAAAAGATTAAGAACAAGCCTTCTTTTATATTAAAAAGAATGTTATAAAACAAGATTGAAAATATGCAATATTACTAAATGTTAAGATTTACTTGTTTTATGACAAAGATCAAAAAAGATAGTTTCAAATCTGTGATCTGTCAAAATTTCAAATTAGAGAATTTCAATATACTTACTTTCTAAAATTAAATATGGAAACATACCTTAGTGATTACAAAATGAAAATACACTGCTTGTGTTTCACAACTCGTTTTAATATTCCAAATCAGTGCAGAAATCAATTTTTTGCATTAAAAGATCATCTATTTTCCCGTCCTTCCTATCATCTGATAATCTATATCTATTCAATCACGATTTCTATTTATAAAAAGGGAAGTCTTTATGTTTCTATATAATACAACAGATTATTTAAATCTGAAGCAGAATAACATACCTGTATGTGATGAGGACGAAATAGGAACTGCCTGTTCAAGTTTGATTTTTCTATCAAGTCAGGATCTGTAACTGTAACCTAATGTCAAGAGGTGAACACAACAGACACATCTATTTTTTTCTCAGTATTACTAAAACAACACCTACATATTATAATTATTTTGGCTGGTAAAGATACTAAGAATATAAATATTCATCATTACCAATACTATGCTTTTTACACTTGTTCTCAAAATATATGTGCTCCGCAAGCTACTATTTTTAAACTGTGTTCTGTTAGGGTTGACTATATTGACAGACCTATTCATTTTCGTTTAGCCGGTATTTCCCTGTTATTTTAACATTTCTGTGTGATTGTATGTTATGGTATTTTTTTTCAATTGGAACAACAGCGCAAAATGAAACAGAAAATCTGTGCAACAAAATACCTTAGTGAACTTACAATTATTGTGATTACTTAATGTATGTCTTTGTCCTTTTACCTCCTCCAACCCTGCCTTTTATTCTCTCCATTTTGTCTTCTACTAAATTGAATGGTTTTATTTCAACTCACTTTGAAATTAAATGTCTGTATTTATGTGGTTATGCTCAAATTTTATGATACACATGTAACTTAAAATTTAAAATTAAAGTCTCTTCTTGAACAGAATCTCTTCTTGAATTAAAATTTTCTCGCTTGTACTTTCCATTGATATCAATTCACATTTTAGTTACATTTATTTTTGATCATCCCATTCCCAAATCAGTCGTTTATCAGTTTTTAAAGTCAATTTCTATTTAAATTGTAAGAATGGTGATGAATGCCTCTGCTCATCCTTCCTGCAGTGCTCACATTATCCAGTAGTTCTTTCTCTAAGAACTAACAGTGCTATCTACACTGAAACTACAGTACTCTGAAAAAAGAGACTCTGCAGTGCTCACATTATCCAGTAGTTCTTTCTCTAAGAACTAACAGTGCTATCTACACTGAAAACTACAGCACTCTGAAAAAAGAGACAGGATATAAGAAAATGGAAAGGCATCCCTGCTCCTGAGTAAGAAGAATCAACATAGTGAAAATGGACATATTTCCAAAACTGCTATACAGATTCAATCAAGACAATCCTGATTGAAATCCCAATAGTATATTTCACAGCACTTGAGAAAATAATCCAGAAATGCATTTGGAACCAGAAGAGACATCGAATAGCAAAAACCATTCTAGGCAACAGAGAAATGGCAGGGGGTATCACAATTCCCAACTTGAAACTATACTACAAAGCCACTGTGATAAAAACAGCATGATAGTGACAAAGAAAAAGACCTGAGGATCAATGGAATAGATTGGAAGATGCAGAAACAAAATTAAGACATACTCAGCTATCTCATCTTTCACAAAGGAGCCAACCATCCTTACTGGCGGAAAGATAGCCTCTTTAATAGATGGTGTTGGAAAAACTGGCTTTCAACTTACATAAGATTAAGATTTGTTCCCTTTCTTTCACCATGCACTAAACTAAATAATCCAAGTGGATTAAAGATTAAAACAGACACTAAACTTACTGGAAAAATAAATTAGGTAGAACTCTTGAAGACTTTGGTATAGGAAGACTTTATGAACAAATCCTTAGCAGCAGGGGAAGTGGCACAAAGAACCAACAACTAGGATCTCCTCTTATTAAAAACTTCTGCAGTGCAAGAGAAACCACCAACAGAACTAGGAGACAACTTACAATGTGGGAAAAAATTTTTACCAGCTGTTCCTCAAAGGTCTACTATCTAGAATATATGAAGAACTCAAAAAAATAAAGACCCAATTCAAACATGGGCATGTAAAATGAACAGACAATTCTCAAAAAAAGAAGTAACAGCAGCAAATAAATATGTGAAAAAATGTTCAATATCACTGGTTATTCTGGAGATGATGATGAAAACAACACTGAAATTCCACCTCACCCCAGAAAGAATGGCTTCTATCAAGAAATCAACCAATAACAAATGTTGGTGAGGTTGTAGGGAGGAAGGAATCCTTCTCCATCATTTTATTCATCAGCTATCTTTACTTTGCCCTCCCTTCTGAAAGGTAACCAAATACAGAAATCTGAGTCATTTTCTCTTGTACTATAAAGAAAAGCTTTCAGATGTGTTACACAATTTTTCTATTTTTACCTTTGATTTGTGTGGGATTAGTTACTTTTACACACTAAGTATATTTGTCTTCAATTTTGGGAACTTTATCATTACCTTTTGACTATGCTATATTGTTCCTTCTCTAGTATTTTTATAAATTTCACTAGATTTATGTTGAACTTTGCAAATACATCTGATTTCATCAAAAAAAGTATCTCTCTGCACTCTAATCTGGGTGTTTATCTTTTAATATGTCAATTCTTGTATCAGTTATTTTTGAATTTAAATTTAATGATTATTCAGAAATTCTTATTTGACATTTTGTAAAAATTTTAGGGCTCTATTTTTTTCTTTTATTGCTGCTTCTTCTTCTTTTTTTTTTTTTTAATCTCTGATTATCTGTTACTTTAGAGTTTATTCTCCCATGCACGTTTTTCTATTCTTTTTACCTACAGGGAACTAATTCTTCTATGTGTCTTGGCTGATTATTCTCTGAAATGCTTTCCTCTTTCTAATGGACTATCATTTTTTAAGGTGAATTATCTTGCACGGATATTGATTTTCCTACAGTTTTAGGTGCTCTGTAAAAGTACCACCATGATGCAGTTTTACATTTGCTTTTATTGTAGGTCTGGAGATTTCAACGGTCCTATATTTGTTATATTCATTTCTCGAATTGAAGTTTCTATACAGTATAATTTTGAATGCATACATCAGTATGGTATATGCTCTGAATTTTATTTTCCCATGAGTGACTTCTTTTCTATTTATGGTTTTGGGTAGACATCCAAGATAGAGATAACAGAGGTAACATGTTGACTTTTACCTCAGGATTTTATTTCTCCCTTGGTTCCTGGCACCTGGAGATTTCTCTTCCTACTATGGCTATATACATAAACACTTAAAATAATTATTCTGTTGGCTGACATGATAAATCTAAAAAATTACTAATGAAAGCTAGTTTATATCTTAAAAGGTTAAACAACATTAATGAAATACATTTTTATTTAAATATGTGACATGGTCATACAATTATCTCACATTTAATTGTAAGAACTTAAATTGTATACCTAAGTTTATATTAGTTCCACTACTTACAACCAAAACTACGCCTGGTACTCTACAATTTTCTAAAGTCTTCTCTCACTGAGAAGACTTTACAGTTAACAGTATATAACAGAAACAATAACCAAGTGTTTTACTGTGTAAAGCTCTTTTACATTTGATCTTTACAATAGTGCTATGAAGTGAGGTAGGTAGTACAGATTGATTTTCTGGAGTACTGTGTTAGAAAAAGGAATAAAGGAGAGAGAATTAAAGTACTTTGTTATAAAACTATATAATTTCAAAAGTGGTCAGTAGACAACAGAATATTTCAACTTCTAGTTTAATGCTCTGCCATTATAAGTTCATACTTTGTGTGTTTGTGTGTGTGCACAGTCAAGCACAATTTAAAAAAGACCAAAAAAAAGACCAACAGAAACATATGCTATAACTTATGAATTTGTATCTTACCATTCCTTTCTCTTTGCTTGTACCAATACCAAGTAAAGCAAAATTTTTTAACATTTCACAGCCTATGGCTCCACAACCTACCTATGGAGGAGAAAGACAACATATCAGTTATACTAGATGTCAAGTGAAGATAGATTTCACTCTTTTCTTCAAATGCTAGGTTAAAAAAGATACTTTAACTCATTCACAACAGGGCCATAATTCACATGTCTCAGTCCTGGGTGCCTTGAATCACTGGTGGTACATGCCTGACTATCGCACCAGGTAGCTTTTCATTAATTCTATTAGTAAAAAGAGGAATAAAAGTGATTAGATCTGTCTGCATCACCAGTTGCACACAGCACCTGATGGGACAATCATACATGTACCAAGCCAATGAGAACTTGACTACTGGTGCCTCATCTTACTTTAAAATATTTAATAGGTTTAATATACCTTTAAAAATGTCTCGAAAGAAAAAAGCATAAACTATATAAGGCATAATACTTATAATTTCTTTAAGCAGAAGGCATTTAAAAATTCCAAATAAACAGCAAAAAACATCAGCACATTATAATGAAAGATACCTCACTTTTAAATATTTCTCAAAACTCATGAGATGAACAGAACCATTCTAGGGCTTCCGTTTTAAATAAAAATAAAAAACTGATGTTAGATTCCACATATATGCAAAAGCAATGAAATAACTAGTCATCTAAACATTATTTAAAAATGATTAATAAAAATTAGCAGTATTTTCAAGAGTGACTTATAATGATGATAATAAACAAGGAGTTTTATGTGGTTCAGGAAAACTTCCCTGGCAACAGAAACACCTATATATTTCTTCATTTAGTGAGAAGTAAAAATATAACAAGCTTTTTATGTACTTCTGAAAAGCATTAAATATTAAAAATTATCATACTCAAAATTTGAAGCCAGGAGTGGTGCTATATGCCTATAAATACAGCACTCAGGAGGCTGAGCAGGAGGGTAACACGAGTTTAAGGACAGCCTGAACTACATAACAAGACCTTCTCTCAAAATGTAAAAAATTTAACTTGACATGTATTAATTATTTAGACCACTGGATAGCAAACTTTTTATGTGAAGGGCCAGATAGTAAGTATTTTCAGTTTTGCAGGCTATCTAGTGTCTGTCACAACTTTTCACTCAGACCTTTATCAGACTCAACTCTGCTGGTACAACAGTAGTTTGGATGTACTACTTATTTACATCATTATTCACTTACTAAAAAGATATTCAGATTTTGTAGCTTCTGACACAAAGTGTCTCCGATGCAGGCTCGTAAAGCATCATACCTATCTCCTCTGAAGAAAACAATATATAGAAAAAGTGATGCAAAAAATTATTAAATTAGTTTCATTATCATTATAACAATATTGTGCTTTAAAACAGAATACACTTTTAAGAGTATCCCCAACCTATCAGATGAACTGTATCAATTAAAGAGAAAAGATCTCAATAAAAAAAATCGGTTGCCCTTTTTCCACTTGATTTAGTATTTTAAGACCAACTGACCTAAGTAAAGAGTATTTTACTTGTTTTGCTTTTTTGTTTCTTGTTTTGGGAAGAGATAGAATTGGAGATCTTGTGCTTGTGAAGCAGGCAGCGGAATCGAGCTAAATCTTTGGCCCTAACAGTATTTTAATGTATAGCAGCCCTCTTTTGCCACAGGGCATATGTGGAGCATATTCCAAGACTATGGGGGGGCACCTAAAACCTTGGATGGTACTAATACCCATGTATACTGAACTCTGTCCTACACACACTTTAATGCCTGCCTTTATAATCTCGATTAAGTACTTACACATTGCGGTATTAATTGGTGCAGTTTCATGTGACAGAAAAATTTGTACAATTTTTTTTCCTTTCTCCCAATTTGAGCTTTCAGATTCATTCTTACCACTGATCTCAGCAACTTCAGCATACAACTTTATTCCTTTGCTTACTGCGAACTTTTAGCTTTTCATTTAAAGATACTACTTAGGTATGGCTAAATTGCAACATCCTTACTCTTGCATTTTGGGATCATTTTTAAGTAAAATAAGGGTATATCCCCATATAAGCAACCACAATCCAGATGGTTGATCTGATAATAGAGCTAGGATGAGGTGACTAATTGGTACTTAGCATGGATATGACAAAGGGTGAGTCAGGCCCCATGTGTGAGATTTAAACACGCTACTAGAATAATGTGCAATTAAAAAAACCTATTTATTTCCAGAATTTTCGACTTAGTATTTTTGAATTGCAGGTAATTAAAATATTGAAAAGTGAACTTGTGAGTAAAAGGGGGAATCACTATACCTAGAAAATTTTCAAAGTTAGTGATTTTTTAAAAAATTTTTTAGGAGAATCTATGAGTAGACTTTGGAGTGGTTAACCCAGTGAATTTAAAGGGAGAACTGTGAATTCTGTATTTCAGGGAAAATGAAATCTCCAAATTTTTATCAGGTTCTGAAAGAGATTTATGAGTCTGAAGTGAGTGACATAAAGACTGCAGATGACGATTTTCTCATCTAGTATCATTATGATAGTACCACACTTAACCCGTAAGTAGTGCAGAAGTAAATGAGTTAAGAGAAAAGACATCTAAATTAACTGGATGTTTAGATAAAATTTCAATTTCTTTCCCTCTTATAAAAAAAACCCCAAAAAACAAAAAAACAGAAATTTCAGCATTACCGTGGGAGAAATTCTTCACATTCAGGTTTGCCTAGGGATTCGACAATGTCGGCTGCTTCAAGATATAACTTAAAGTGGAAGATTTAAAACATAATTTACTATGTTTAAAACTTATATTACTAAAAATAGCTGTCCTATAGTCATTTAATAATCATTAGAAAAAATTAAAATGCCAACTCAGGATAAATAATTTTTAAAGTTTTTTTACTACATATTCTTATATTCTGTCATTTAACAGAGGTAAAACATGAAAGCACTGTTAAAAGATATATAATTTAATTCATATAACCTCATCCTAAAATTATCTTCTAATATTTAACAAAACAAAATCCCACCTCCAAATCTATTTTTTGTAACATAAAATCTGTTGAAGTCCCATTCAATTTCAGCAACACTTGCCTAATTTTTTAGTGTCCGAGAGTAAAGTAATTAGTCTATACTTATGTTCAAGTTTGGGTATATCATTTATAACTAAGAACCAGAAATGAATTAGGAAGCCACAATTCCAACATTTAAAAAAATACCAAACAGAATTAGTTTCATTTAGTGAAAATAAAGAATAGAGTCTGACTCTAATATTCACCTAAATAGCTTACATGGCTAAATTTCAGCATGATCAAATGGTTATGCATTAAACTATAATATAAAGTTTACATTAATAATAAAACTAATTTACATTTCTCATGGTATTAACCACTGTAAACAAATCAAATTTTCACTAATCACGTTGTATTTTGTGTTACTCAGAAGTAAAATATCAGTATGTAGATACTTTTTGTAATATAAAATATGTTACATTTGAAATGTTAAATTGTTTCAAAACAAAGGGGGCCTGAATAACATGTTTGTTGATAATTTCTGCCAACTTTTCCTTCTAGTAATAGAAATGAGAGCTTTTATTCCATTTTACGATGTTTTTACCCTGCATAATTCTCAAACCTGTAGATTACCTCTATACTATACAGCTTTAGACATTTACATCGGGGAAGGGGACTTGAGGATTCACGATGGCAAAACATTTAATGAAACAAGTAGAAGAGTTCTGTAAGCCCAAGAATGCTAAGCTATAAGTAATGGAGAAAAACTGTAAGGACAGGAAATTCATTGCTTCACACTCACAATGGAGTGGAATATACCAGAGAAGGTGACTCAGGGTTACATCACAGAATCTTGTATTTAGGATTTGGAAGCATATTACTCTCTCCTCTCTCATGCATTAAAAATATTTTAACGTCACTTTTCTAACACATTACCACGTTATAACAACAACCCCTTCATTCTATGAGTGGAGAATTCAACCTTAAATGTGAAGAAATATAAAAATTCAGAACTAACCCACTGGCATAAAGGAGAAAACTTTCCTGTCACAGCTTTCAGTACTTCTTGACTGGCAACTCCTCCTACAGTTGCAGCAAGTGGGGGTAAAAAGCCTCGGGCAGTCCAAGCAAGCCAACGTATAATGTTAGCATCTACTTCAGGCTGAAACACAAAGAAAGGCTATGACTCCTGTGAATATTCATCAGTATTCTTAGAATTTCAATTATGACATGTGAAAATTATTAGAACTTAACCCCTAAACTACTCTATTTCCCTACTAACTAGACTTTAAATCCTAAAAATGTCTTAGTCTCATAATAAAAAGACTCATAAGCATGTTATCTTCAGTTGCATTTCTCTGAACTAGTACCAGCCCATTTGGCTTTCTGACTCTATACATCAGCCTATGGCCTCATTCAGAAACAACAGAAATATCTACCATATATATTAAAGAACAGTTATGTAATGGCAGTCAGTCAGTCATATTTATAAACCTAGAATTTAAAAAAAAATGAAAATTAAATGAAAGTAAATGAAAATAAGGTGATCCATAAAAATAATTTGCTACTAGTTTGTATTGAAAGTGATAAATAAGAGAACATATCATTAAAGAGATACAGCTCTCAATGACTAATTAAAATAAATTATTTCTCAATAACAGTTTATTATTATTTTAAAGACAATACAGGAAAAGTGGCTTTGGAGCTACTGTGTTAGCACAATTACTTATTTATGACAAGGATCTTTTCATAAGCTCTGGCTTCTCTTTCTTTTCCAATCATTCAAAATTAGTTAACCTGAAGTTTCATGTAGGATTCAATTAATCCTCTGAAATCGTATGAAAACTAGCACTTTTTATATACTTCAGAGGGGAGCAGTTTTATTATATTCTCAAATATATCTGTGACATAAAAACAGTTAATATCTACTCATTACTCTATCCTTCCAGTTCAATTATTTGTATTTCATTATTTTCAGCTATTTAGTAGCAACTTTAATTCAGAAGGACTATGATTTAAGTTGTACCTTTTATTAATTGATTGATTAATTGATTATGAGATAGGGTCTCACTATCTAGTCCAGGCTGGTCTCAAACTCACAGCAATTCTCCTGCCTCAGCCTTCTGAGTGCTGGGATTACAGGCGTGTTTCACCACACCTGGACTTAAATTTTACCATTTTTATAAAGCAGATAAATTGGTGGTGGTGATAATATTAAAAGTAATAATTAGTATGATAATAAAAGCAGTTAGTTTAAGTACTACTGTGACAAGTACATATTAAGTCCTGATATAATATTCAAAATAATATGAGGAAATATTACATAAGTGAGAAAACAAACTAAATTATTAAGTAACTTTATCTAAGGTTTTATAAGGTATAACAAAAGGTATAGCAAAACCAGGATCTGAATCCATAAAATTCAACTTCACAGCTTTACTTTTACAAAGAGGTTATATTATCTCCTCAAATTCTATGCTTTCTAGGAAACATACAAACATCCAAATCTTGAGAAATTTTAGTTGCCCTAGAATAATGATAGTGGCCTAAATCTAAATTTCCTCACACAAATCTTCAAATATATGATACATATCCAGAGGAATAGAAATAAAATAGTGACAGATCTTCAACAGTGACAGCAAGGAAACAGATTATAAGCTTCAAGTTACTTTCAAGGAAGTAAGTAGATATGAAACATCCACAGAGCTAATTGGACTTCACACTGCCACAGGCCTGCACAGAGGGCACGAAGTATAGTGACCACAGAACACCAAAATGAAAGCCTAATGGTAACAAAGCATAGTCAAAATCATCCTGAGAAAAAGTCTCAAGCTAAGTGTAAAAATACCCAATTCAGGTATAAAATCAGGCAAGTTTCCAGCATTGGCGAGGGTAACAATTTCTCTGGGAAAGGCTGTAAACAGAAAATAGGAAGACAATCTCTGGTAGAGAACGATAAAGATAAAATGATCAAAGAGATCTCCAAGACATGCCAACACTATAAAAAAAAAATCTGTTAGGGCATTTAGCTCAGTGGTGCTGGCACTTGCCTGGCAAGAGCAAGGTCCTGACTTCAATCCTTAGTACCAAACCAAATAAAACAAAATCCATTACAGACAATCCTTTTTAGCATTCTGACAGTGTTGCCAGAGCAAATATGTCTGAATGAACAATATATTCCTCCAAGGAAGCACTTTAAGATGTGGAGGGAAAATTAACAAAATATCTTGAATCAGGAACTTTAAAAGAGCAAAAATGATCCACTCTACTCTCCCAAAAAAGGAAAAGATTTTATGGAAAAAATGCCAAGATATTTTAAGGATGAAAAAGTGTTTTCAAGAAATGAATTATGATTACTGGACATTAATGAACAACAAAATTAACCTTCCTTTATACTTTGTACAGTTTATAAAAATGAGCTCACAAAACTACAAAATATTGCACATGAAATTAGTGTAAAATCATGCACATAAGTCACGTATGTATTTTGCAGACAAGTCCTGATTGGTACTTTGCACAGTACACAAAAATGAACTCACGAAACTATCAAATATGAAACAAAGAAAATACAGGGAAAGAACTTTTTGATCTTAGGTTAAAAATTTTAGCGAGTAAGGATATATAGTTCAGTGGCAGGTTCTTGGCCACCATGTGCAAGGCCCTGGGCTTAATTCCTACAACTGCAAAATAATTAAAATAAGATAAAATTTTAGGATAAAGTGAGCACAAAATATACGAAGAACAATTAAAAAAGCTAAGAGAATATCTGTAAAACATGTAAGTGATAAAAGGTTCATATCCAAAATATAAAAAGATATTTGATAAACTTAATCAGAAAATAAAATAGGCTCAAATTCATGGCCATTAAGGAAGACCAAATTAAATTTACAAACAGATACAACTACACATGTTAAAATGGTTAAAATAGGAACAATAAAGACTTTAAAGGAATTCAGATGAACTGAAACGTGTATTTCTCGTAGAAATGTGAAATGGAGGTGCTTTGCAAAACAGTTGGGCAGTTTCTTAAAATATTAAATCTATAGGGCCGGGGATTTAGCTCAGTGGTTCGGTGGCCTGCCTTGCAAGCACAAGGACCAGATATCAATCCCTGGTATCATGAAAAAAAAAAAAAAAAAAAAAAAAAAAATCGATCATTTTATACCTATCATATGACTCTGTAATAAACTTCTAGATAAGTACCCAAGAGAAATGAAAATATATTCCAGAACAAAGTCTGTACAAATATCTAGAGCTACTTTATTCAGAATTGGTCTAGGCCAGGCATGGTGGCGCATGCCTGTAATCCCATCACTCGGGAGGCTGACTCAGGAGGATAGCTGTGAGTTCGAGACCAGCCTGGGCTACAGAGTGAGTTCCAGGTCAGTCTCAACTACATAGTGAGACCCTGTCTCAAAAAACAAAACAAAAAACAGAATGGGTCTAACTGGAAATAAGCCACATGTTCATCAACTGGTAAAGGGATAAAATGTGGTTCATCTACAATAGATATTGTTTAGCAGTAACATGGAATTGAACATGTAACAACATAAATGAGACTCAAATCATGCATATCTAGTAAAAGAGGCCAGATCCAACTCAGTCTAGGGATTATATGATATTATTCCATTTATATGACATTCTGAAAAGTTAGTAGACAACAGTAGCCGTCAGGCTTTGGTCGCAGCTAGGGAAAATGATCATAAAGAGGCATGAGGGAATATTTTGGCATTATGCAAATGTTTTGTATCTTAATTCTGGTGGTAGATACATGACTGTACACTTTAAATTCATGGTGTTAAGCTGAATTGTGCACAGAGTTTTGTTGGCCTACACCTAAAAAGAGTAAAATTCACTATGTAAATTATACCTCAATAAGTCAGATAAATCCTTAATCACATCCTTAAGTTTAATCACACATTTCAATCTATTTCTGTCTTTTCTTACTTTTTCTCTAATCACTATACAGTTAAGTCTTTCATTTATGGCTAGTGATTCACTACTTTTGCTATGTTTATTATTTCATTTTTTGTCTCACTTATATGAGATTGAAGCTTCTTACCACTTTTGCTTAGACTTTCATTTCCCTTTTTACAAAATAAAAACAAAAGCTGTAAAATTTTCAAATAATTGCACAAACATCGCTATATATAGGTTCTCAGTTGTCTGAAAGACACTCTATTCCAAACATGAAAAAAAATTTTCTTTTTTTTTTTTTCTTTCTTTCTTGGTATGGGGGATTGAACTCAGGACCTTATACTTGCACGGCAGATGGAGGCATCACTGAGCTAAATCTCTGGCCCCCAAAAAACAATTGGTAAGTGATATGTTCAAGAGTTTATAAATATGTATATAAATATACATTAAAAATA